AGCGGGGCAGGCTAAATTATTCATTGCTTCGGAATTGGGGAGATAGCTGTTGGTCCAATTTGAGTGCATGTATGGGATTCAGAAGCGAGCATGAGCATGAGCTGACGCGTTAATACCAAAGAATTTGCACTGATTGCAGCTCTACAGTGAACGCAGATCCTAAACTACAAAAATTACTTGTGCCAAGCAGCAACGGTGGGTCAGACACACGTTTCAAACCCTGACAATGTTCTTGTGAGAGTAAACTGCGAGGAGGATTCAGCTGGATGACAGTAATACTACTTTTTGAGAAGATGAGTTTTCAGTCTATGATGGAGGAGGAAAGTGACTTAACTGTTGTGACTGCAGGGTGTGTGAAATGTAGTTGTGTTGGCGGTGGGGCGGAGATCCTTCTCAGGGTCGAGATTGAAGATCTGCACGGGGATGACGGTAACCAACGGCTCTGAATTACTCTCTACGTCGTAGGGTTTAACATCTGCCAGCGCTGACGCCAGTCTCTGTCCTACACACACTCGTACATGCAGCAGACTGTCACACACACTGACACGGACACATTCTTACAAAACAGGGCGATGCTCGACTACATGTCTGTATTTTCTGCCTTTTATAGCCAGATAGCAGTTTATCGAGGTAGCTGTCTTGCACCGGTGAGGTTAGCTGTATGACCCACAAAGCTTGAGTTATTACAGTGTAAAGTGTGGAAATTTGATATCTAGCCTCTACAATTCTGAACTATACCAACGTTTTGAAACAATCTTAAACTGCAGTACCTCTAAATTACTTAGAAGAATCAGTTTTTATTGCAATGTTTTGTATTTAATGCACAACAAATAATAAATGCCATAAAGTCACTTCAGTTTTTTTACACAAAACTGGTTGAATAACTACAATTTTGAATTTTTAAAAAAAGGCAAACTGCAGATTAAATGTTGTAATGATCCCAATTAAAGTTTTCACTGATGAAAATAACAAAATCCTACAAATTATATAAAATAATACAACTCAGAAGTATCCATCCTAATACCCTACTGTTAATATAGTGCACTTCATAGTATTGTGTATTTTTACTTCACTAACAGTAAAATAAAGACATCAAACAGCTGCAATGGTAACCAATGACTTTACTGCAGCTCTGTTTGACAGCTCACCTGTCTGAGGTCAAGCAAAATGACAGTATTATACCCTGAATGATCCTGTCTCTGTGTCGGGGATAATTTCACAAAGTCACTAATGAAGTTACTGCTGTTGCTTCACGTGCCTAAATGCACACAACTCTCTCTGGAGATGCTAATACGGATGTTGGTGCTTTTTGTTGCTAAATACACTCAGAAGAAAGACTCCTACAAAAAACAACATACTAAACTGCAACTCCTGTTAATGTTTAGTCCAACCGGATTTACATTACATTATATTATTGGTGAGCAGCACTAATCTGACCTGTTCACTTGATTTTTATTGACATTTCACAAGAGTGTTGTGGAACTGCAGGGCAAAGTGTCCAAATGTGATGTTTTTTCACCAATATTAGTGCTGAAATGTGGAAAAAGCCTTCGCCCAATCGCTTCACACAACTCGAAGTACATCCATCGCTTGTGCGTGCCTCTGCATGTGTTAATCTGACAGCATTCAGTTCAGATGTGTTGTGTTGAAAATGAGACAGAAATGTTAAATGGTCCAACCTAGCGACATTGCCCTTGTTGCTTTTACAGAAACCTGACCAGGGCGCTCATTTAGATGTGAAGCCGACACGTTCCAAAGCCACCAGATTAGGAAAAAATGTCTAAAAGGGGCTTCAGTGTTACTTCTCCTAAGAATCCCGTCACGTTTTATAGAACGGAAACACACTGGTGCAGCACTACACCTGTCAGTAATGATACGAAATGATGATGATTTGTAAGTGCCTGAAGTCCTGAGAGTCTGTAATGTAGGGAGTAGTGAATAAGTGGACTAAGGAGTGATTTCCAACACTGTCACAGTGTTAGTTGTGCTTCAACTCTTAGTCTATGGTTAGGAGTGCACTTAAGTTCACACCAAATACCTCAGAGGGATGATGGCGACTGGAGCGTCGATAGTTTAAAGCTGCGATTATGAAAAACTACTGTGACTGATATTGTACATGGCACTTGCACAGTGTCTTTGAAGTGCTACTACATCAAATACATTTTTACCCAGATCCATTACTTAACCTAGCAAAGAACCACATTAGCTCAAAGCTCAATATTAACAGCCTGAGAAAGTTCTAGTGTATTTATATCGAGCACTGTTCAACAATAAGCAGCTCCCTGCTGTCAACATGGATTCTTCTCCCGCTGAGCTCTTGGCTAAGCACAAAATAGTCTCCATCAGGATTTATTTGGGTTGTAGTCCTGCTTTATAACGTGTGGTGAAGCAAATATTCTCAAAAACACCAGGGTTTATGGGAAATGTGGTCTTAATTTTGAGAAACGGCAACATTCACAGCACTTGTGAGAGTTGGAGATTGAAGTGGATTTTATTGGAGCTTGGATTTGGATTGTGTTTTTAATAAATACGTGTGTTCATGTGTGGTAGGTCACATGTATAGAATATCTCAGCACTTTTGCTGTACTTGCTGCTCAGGCATATCCTTGCTTTCCACGCTTATTATCTGAACACCTACACACACAGTCTCCCCCCAGTTTATCTGTCTTTCTCCTTTTTTTTCCCCCCCTCTGCTGCCTGAAGATAAAGATAAGCTGATTTAGCAAGCTACGTTGTGTATGAATGGTTAAATGATTTTGATTTCTATACTGTGGCAAACTGATTTATGTATTTCCATATTTGGCTGTGATCGCTTGACAGATAAGGATTATTCCTCATTCAGCTGGATGCTATAACATTGCATTGGGTGTGTCATCGGGCTTGCGTGTGTGTGTGTGTGTGTGTGTGTGTGTGTGTGTGTGTGTGTGTGTGGGTGTTGGTCTCAGGAGGTGTTGATAGAGATGTGCTGTGAGTATGGCTGGCATTACTGCCCTTCTCATGCTGGCACTTGGCATCACAGGGGTGCAGTGTTATGTCCTCTTTCTCTCTCACACACACACACACACACACACACACACACACACATGCACGCACACAAGGCTGTTCTCACACCTCTCCCGCTGCTGTGTGTGACACTGCTTTAAGATGTCATTGATTTTGTCACCTAATGAAGGCCAGTGTGCAAAAGCAGGCATCCAAATAGGTGTCTCATGTATCCAGCGTCTGTCCTCCACTTTAACCACATCTTCTGCTACAGGCTTTTTTTTTCCCCTCTTAGAAGATTAGTGTATTTAAACAGCGTTATCTAAAGATAAAACATCACCAGTTGTAAACCGATGCCACGATAATGCTATAAATCAGACTGTTAGCAATATAAACAACATATCCCATCTTGAAAAACACACGATAGCCAGTTTATTCCATTCATGCCAACAAAAACAGGACAAACCCTAATTCTGTTTACACTTCTACTATGTGTATTAGTTTTGTCTCCACAGCAATATATATTCCATATAACACCACACACCGTTATTTTGTCCACACAGAGATGTCTGTGACTGGAATGCACATTAGCAGCTTATCCTTAAAGACACAAATCGGTGCAGCTGTCTGGTTTTATAAGAAGTTTGTTGTTTCTCTCATTATTTGAATGCAGTGCACTCTTTTTCCCAGCAGAGAGAGCTCCAGCGAGGTACCACTGCCCGCCTGCTTGGCTCTCTAGGTCCAGACACATCAAGCTGCAGGGCTGTGCAAGTGGTCACGAGCATCTTATTTGTGTGTTCACAGGCTGTCCGATTCATTCGCTGTACTTCTATCATGCTGTCGTGAAAGGAATTGATCAATCAGTTCGGCTTGTTCGTACTTTTCATACGATGTCAGACTAATTGAGGATCTGTCAAGGTATTTTTTTTTAAACAATGTGACAGCTGCAACCTGCAGAGTATTCACGTGTTTTAGATTCTTCTACAGAACTGGTGATGAAAATTGACTGCATTTGCTGTTGCATAGAGGAGGATTGTCAAGATGGTGACTCAGTCCTCTTTGTCTCCCCTCATCATTTCTTGTCTTGGCTGCTTTTGTTTGCTAACATTTCACTTATTATCACGCTGATTCTCCTACACACGATCTCCCGTCCTCGAGATGCATTTTGTCTCAGTATTTCATCTTCAGTGGTGATAGAACAATTTAGCAAACATGGATGGAAATGACACAAATCTATAAATATTTCTCAATAGAACTTTAACAATAGCTACAGATTCAGTGATAATGATGAGTCATATGGTAGACTGTGTGTATTATATTAGAGACAATTTAAAATCATTCATGCTGTCACATATTCATTCTCTTTGAACCTTTATTGCATATAAAGAGATGGCAAAGGTGTTTTTGTACTTTTCTTTTACATTTACTTGTGCATGTATCTGATATTTTTTTCTGTGACATTTATATAAAAGTTTATGAGTTCATATAAAACTCAGTTGATAGTTGTGTGGAAACTTTGCTGTCTTCCTCTCTCCACTTCCGTCTCTTTGTGATGTACCGTGATGGTCTGACATATGTTCTCATGGGAGCCTTCAGTTTTTTTCTCTTCCCCCTCTTCAAGTTAACACACTGGAAGAAACAGCACTTTAGGAAGGTCACACACATATACACACTCACACACACACACACACACACACACACACAGCAGTGTTCGTAGAAGCAGCGTGTGATATGAAGGGCGGGGCACTCAAATCAACTGTGGACAGCTGTCGACTCAAAATATTACTGATCTTTTCACCTGAATGATTTGCCCTTTGCACAGCAATGCACTTAATATTGTGTCTGAGGCTTGTGATTTTGGTCTGGGCACTTTTCCCGAAACCCTCTACGCACCTAAGAATGTTTAACAACAGCTAGTGTGTGGTTTTTGAGAAATATCATGCTGATAATAAACAGTTTATGGTGCGTCTTGTCAGGGTCAGAATAAATTTCCCTATTCTCTCCTTTTTTCTCCACAGTACGCTAGAAACAACCTTCGACACCACGGTAACCACTGAGGTCAATGGACGCAGCATGCCAGCCCTCGCATCACGCTCCTCACCCATGGCCTGGCGTCTGGGCCAATCACAAACCCCACGTCTCCAGGCAGGCGACGCCCCCTCAATGCCCAGCGGCTACGCTGCGCCCAGGGCGAGCACAACGGGCGCTGGCACCACTACAGGGCGCTACAGTGGGCACGCCGACCCCTCCAGGTTTGTGTACAGCGCCCCCCTGAGGCGAGCAGCAGCGGCAGGGGCTAAGGGGGCGGAGCAGGGTGAGAAGGGAGAAGGAGGGCTGCAAGGAGGGAAGCAGATGGAGGTGGCAGGGTACTTGAGTGATGGGGACATCCTAGGGAAGAACAGCCGGATGGATGTGATCACCAGCGGGTAGGATGAGCATGTTAGCTTCCTCTGACACTCTCACTAACTCTGAGCACCTGCTTTAAAGGCCCAGTCATTATGTTTGTGACTATAAATTACAGATATGTTAAGTAAAGCGTTTGACTTGGGGATGAAAAATCAGCATTTAGTGTGTTCCTAACCCCTAACTTCTACTAACTGAGGTAAACAAATCTTTAGCAGACGCACTCCCCTGCAGACCTTGAAGGGATAGTTAAATATTTTGTGTTTATTTGCTGTTATGCCAAGAGTTAATTAAAAGATTAATACCATTTTCATGTCTGCGCAGCAAATATGTAGTCATAGCCAACAGCCAGTTGGCTTTGCTTAGCATGAAGAATGAAAAATAGCAGAGAGCAACCAGCCTGGCTCTGTCTGAAGGTACAGTGGAGAAGCTTGGAAGCCTAAAGCTGGTTGTTTCCTCCGTTTGCCAGAAAACCTCAACATGATGGCAAGATTGTAGAAGTCAAAGCGAAGTAGTCCAGCACATAGCCTCCACCAGACCGCATCTTACAGTTTTTACACTTTGCATTGGTGTTGATTAATCAAACGAGATTTTAAAAAACATTAATAAGAAACTTTAGAAATGTTTGTAGGTGACATTTTTGGATGGAGCTAGACTAACTATCTCTTTCTTTTTCCTATCTTTATGCTAAGCTAAGATAACCAACTGCTAGATGTAGCCTTCTATTTGCTGTCCAGATACAGGAGTGGTATCAGAACTCTCATCCAAATCTCCACAAGAGACTGAATGAGCAGATACTAGAGAGAGCTGTCAGCTGGTATGAAAGTAATAGCAGGCTCCAAACCAATGTTTTAAACTTTGGTGTTTGGATTTATGTTTGTGGCTGAAAATGTATGGTAATGACTGTGAACTCTACATTAGACCACATTCTCAGAACATAGCACAAAACCATATGTCATGTGGACAAATGTTTACGTTTTTGGCAACTGCACAAAACCTGAATAAGATTTATGACTGGATTAACTCTAAACAGCTAAAACTTAAAAGGTCTGACACTTGAGGCTTTAGTTTAGTTGAGGTTGGGATATTTTGTCATGACAAGCCAACCTAAGACCTGACCTCACTCTTACTTTGTGCTATGCTGTGGTATGAACCAGCATTTCTTTTTAAGACTGTCTCCATATGTAATCCTCATGAAAAATGTATTTCTGGGCCTTTTTTTTAAACACAGTACTTACCATACATTTTAAAGCCCACTTATGTTGATGAGATTTATGAAGCCACTATGAATGTGTGTATTAATCCCATAACTGCTGTGCTTTGCCATCCAAAGCAGAAGACATTTCTGTGATATAGAGTCGATCGCCCTCCACATCGTTTATACTAACTAAAACGCCACTTCAAAAGACATTTGTTTCACGGCAGGTCACGCGTTTCAGTTCAGCGCTGCAACACATATTGAGCTTCGTCCAAAACCGCCTCGAAATTCATGGTGAGCTGTGTATTCATACAGTCGTCAAGGCCTCACCTATCCTCCCCTGTATATTAATACAAATAGCCGGGTGACATTGACCAAGGCTGTCATAGGTTTTTCATGCCTTGAATGGGAAGGTTCAAACAATACATTTACATGAACCTTGAGGCCATTAAATACACTGACAGTTCACCACAATGAGAAAAAATGAGTCAGTATCTTTCACAAAACATCACAACACAACAGCGCGTATGCAGGCTTCTGACCTTCATTCACTCAATAGAAATAAACGCCTTGAGCAAGCGGGAGATGTGTTGAAAAAGAAATCCACATTCCACACACGTAGTAATGTAAGCGCACACTCCCACTTATTATCCATGCACTTACGATTTTCTAAAAAGGGAGAACTGTGAGGGGAAGTTAAGCCGAGAGTGATGAAGTAAAACATCCGCAGGATTAAAGATGTGTTCGAACAGAAAATGTAACAACACGTTGGGAGGGAAAGGTGATTAGCTGAATTATTAGCCTAATTAACTCAACACTAATGGTCCCCATGTCCTATCAGCCGTGTCTGATAGCTATCTGGCAGTCGCCTCAAATCTTACCACTTGCTCACTGCTACATACACATCCACAGATGCACTAACTCACTTATACGTGGAATTTTTTTCCTCCTGAGCTTGGAAAATGCACATACAGGTCATTAATCAGATTTCCCATCAATCAAACAAGTCAATGTCTCTGACGTTTAGTTAAAATAATCTGTTGAATACTGAATACCGCAGACTTCCTCTAATTAATTCTCCTCTCACAGATACCTAACAGACGGTGGTCTCCATCTGTATGCAAGGAACACAGGCCGATCCTCAGACGTGGCCTCTTCTCGGGAAACATCCCAGAGAGGAAGCAAGGAGATGCAGGGTGACATAGACAGGTAAGGATGGAATCTGTCAGTGTTTTGCTGTTGCATGTTTGATTCATGTGCGCGTGCAGCCAGGTGTAGCTCACCGTTTTGAGATCCATCCAAGGACTGAGAGATGAATACACATTGTTAAATATCCAAATTTGCATGCGGTTTCTACATCCCAGTTTTGATTGCTGGCATTTAGCTGATGTTTCTCTCCCGAGTATTTTGCTGCGAGTTTGACAGTATAAGCTCCAGTGGCTTTACTAGTTGGCATTCGATTTTAGTTGCAGCCAGGTGGATGTTTGCAAGGGCAAGCCCAGTAGACTGTGCTTTGCAGCCAATGATGCGTGTGTGTGACAAGAAGGAATGCACTGTGGTGAGAAACGTTGAAAACCGGATCAACTTTCCCAAGTAGAAACTGCAGACATATCTTCTTAGACCGAATTGAATTCCACTAAAGCATTCATCTACCGCATTCAACGATATGCAGCTAACAACTTAGAATTCAAACAGGAGGATGGAACATTAGCAATCTGTGTAAACAAGCTACATGTATTACGCTGATACAGTAAGAAAAATATTGTGTGTGCTGTTTTTGTGGTGGACTACAGGGCTGCTGTTTTGTGTATGTGGTGAGTTTGCACCAGCAGATATTGGCACCATGTGACAGTGTTAGAGGAGAGGATTGCATTATTATATAAGCCCAAAATTATTCATACCCATTTTGATTAAGACATGGTGTTTTTAGTCAAAATGTTTTTCAAAAAAACATCGTATATGTAGCTAAAATGGATCATTGCCATCGCTAACGCAATGTATTACTGCCTTTTGTCACTTGTTTATGTCATTTACAGCTAGAAAAAAAAACTACTGGTCACACAGAAAGATCATTATGAATCTAAATCTGACTATGAACATTTTTTGGCTTAACTGTATTTTATTAGCTGTACAGAAGTAGCTAGAGAGTACGAACATTACACCAAAAACTCATAAACTAAACAGATATCAGTGCCTAACTGTGTGTCTTTTTCCCACATAAAGTTAGAAGGAAAAATACAGGCTTGTATTGTTGAAGATACAAGTTTAATAGGCTATAAAATCAGGCAGAGGAGAGAGGAAATGACAAAGTGCTGAAAAGGTGACACAGGTTAAGAGCTTTCAGCCTGTGACAGATGATGGAGCAAACGTACAGCGTCTGTGAAGCAGCACAGATATCTGGTTTGCTCATCGTTGATACACCTTTTCTCCATGAAAAAAAATGACAACAGAAACAAAAGGAAAGCCTCAACCAGAAAGGAGGAAATAACTTCATGTCCTTCAGAGGTGATACACGGTACCCCCCGCTGCAGCAACATCAAAGACTAAATGAGGTGAAAAGGAGAGACGTGGTATCGATTCGAAGCTGTCAGGCTAAGATTGTGATGACAGGCCTTCAGAGAGGCTGCTGGGAATTGACTGATGCAGTGACATTTCCCAGTGCCGCAACTTCAACTTCTGCCAAGATTTTAATGAGTGGCAGTGTTTAGAGGAGTGGGAGGCCTGAAAAGCAATCAGATATGGCTCTTAAGAATTAGCTGGCTTTTGTTGTAGTGCTTTAAATTAGTGCAGTGCTGCAAACAACAGTGAAGCCAACCCCACAGCATGCCACAGGATTACACTAAAAACTGATATAATGTCACTTTGTTTTGTTCAGTACTCAGATTGTGATGATGATGATGATGATGACAGGAATGATCACGAGGATCCATCCATCCATCCATTATCTAGCACACTCACATGCACACCTACGGACAATCTAGAATCACCAATTAACCTCAACATGTTTTTGGACTGTGTGGGAGGAAGCCGGAGAACCTGCGTGGAGTTTGCACGGGGAGAACATGCAAACTCCACGCAGAAAGATTCCGGTGTCCCTACCAGGACGCGAACTGGCAACCTTCTTGCTGCGAGGCAACAGTGCTACCAACTGCGCCACCTTGCAGCCCCACGAGGATCCAATTAAGCACAATTCAAAATGTACTAAGTGTGCATGGTTCCTTGAGGCAAACATGGTTGACATCCCAGATACTGTTTCTGGGTTAGATGCTCGGTCTTACACGATGTTCATCACAATGGTCAGTCGTGCCAATCAGTCGGGGGCGAGTCCGATCATATTTGTGATCAGCCAAGCGTCAAAACATGGTAGACCTGACCAGAGCTTCAACAGACGATTAACCTGCTCTCTGTCAGTCTCAAACTGATCCGCCTGTCAGACTTGACACTCAGGCAAAAGGATGGCTCGGATAAAAATAAATACGAACCCAGTGAACTATCCCTTCCATTTGCCAAGTCTCAGCTTCGCCCTGCATGTATTTTATCTCTGTATTTGAATATTTTGCCTAAAGAGTCTTTCACCTTGCTTTGACAGAAATCAAAAAAATGTTCTGCGGTTTCACAGCTGAAGTCTGTGTTAGCATTTCGGGCCTCAGGGGTGATGAGGAAATATTGATGCCTGCTTCCCCTTAAGATGCCTGCAGGCAACAGACTCCCGATAGGATCAGAATTTGAACTCGGGAACCCTGTTTTCCTTCCTTCCTTCCTTCCTTCCTCTCTTTCTGCCCTACAGAGCTATATAAGTGTAGGCACACACACAAAAATACACAGAAAGCTTCCCCTAGCCTCCTCTGACATGTGTGATTGTCAGAAGCTGAGCTGTCATTTCCCACTGACATACGACAAAGCTCAGGGGAAAAATTCATTTCCGAAGCAATTGCTCACCAGGCTTCACACCTCAGCCCGGCTTTACCTCCGTAGGACAGAATCTGCCTTCCATGACTGGTTGCTTCTTTATCCCGGAGTCTTCTTTTTCCACATAACCCCATGGCTTGAAGTGAAATGAGAAGCGGATAAGGCCCAAGTTCAAACAATCTGTTCGCTGAATTTGAAGAACTTTTCATCTCCTCAAATGTGCATGCTGGCATTCTAGGAATGACAAATAAAAGAAAAAGGGTTTATTCTTGTAATGTCAAATCTAGATTGTACACTTTCTCAGCCCTGATGGTTTTTCATATTTAGCTGTCTTGATTATGACTGAGTAGGAAGTGAACATATTCACACATTTGCCTCTGTAGCTGGCAGTGTTGTGATCAGCCGTCTTTCTTACATGTCCGCTCAGTTGCTGCTTTATTTTGGCTCCTTTATCCAAACGAAAGTGTTAGACTTAATTTACCGCCAGTGGAACTCACCAGGAATATTTCGGTAGTCGACCAAATGCAGACTTAGGCAGGCTGTTATATCTTTAATTGGCAATATTTAGTGCATTCCATGAGCATTAATATTGCTTCTGTAGTCAGTATCAAATGTCGCATTGAATCACTCTAAGTGTTTTTGACGAGTCCTCAGAGGGTATGTTACCTTGATGCACTCACACACAGATTTTCGGAGTCAGAGACTTTCTAATTGAGGGAAGAAGAAGAAAAAATAGCCTCAACCACAAGAGACATCCTGACTGTCTTGTGGCTACGTTGCTTTCTTTGGCTGATTTTACAAAGACAGAGTTTGGCTTGGATAAAACCAATAGCCCTTGGTTTTATGTGCAGAAATAGCTCTTTGCAGCATCTTCCAAAGTATATTTACCTTTTTATGACTGTTTGAATTGTGAGAAATGTCTCAGAAAAACATCTCTCTCCTGGAGCTAAAGCTGATTTTTTTTGTGTAAATGTTAACTGCAGTAAACCGTAAATGTATCTGCTTTGGAAATATGTTGATGTG